TCGGCTTTCGTTCCTTTTTCTTTTTTTTTCCTTTGGCCCGCATCGGAACTGGGGGCGGGAAAGCAGGGGGGAGGGAGCCAAGTTGACACAAAGGATGTAGAAGTTCCCTCAGAGAGAATTGCTCTGCTGCTAGGTTAGGAAGGACGTTTTCGAGCAGGCGCGACACGCGTCACTTGTGTGTGTGAATGTGCGCGGGGGGTGTCGGGTGGGGAGAGGGGCAGCTGGTTTCCTATACCTGCAGGAGCTCGTGAGGTAAAAATGTGCCCGGCAGTGAGCAAGGAGAAGGACGTGCGAAGGCGCGTGTCTAGAAATGCCACAAGGCGCGCGCGTAAATCTCCAGCAACGGGATTTGGCCTCAGGGCGCCGAGTGGTGATAATCACTTTCTAATAGCTCTGAACTAGGCTGGCCTCAAAAGCCGCCTTTCTCCGCCGCTTTCGAACAGATGAAGACTGACGGCGACCCCAAGGCATTTGCGTCGCTCCAGCGCGCTCCGTGGGGCAGCTTGGCCACCAACAGCCCAAAAACATCCTTTGGTTTTGCTTTTGCTCTGATCCAGAGGAGACGGAGTGCGGGTGGGACGGCGAGGAAACGCATGCTGAACATCAAGTCCTTTGGGGTCAGAGCGACGCCGCAGCGAAACTGCTCTGGAGGCATATGGGAAAACAAGTCCCTGCTCGGCCATGTCGAAGAGAAGTGCGAAAGGCAGCGGCTGGAACCTCAGGGTGGCTTCAGCACCCGATGCACGCAACCAGCGTGCTCCCCTCTAGCCCTTTGGACTGGGCAGCTTTTGCTATGGAGCTCGCCCCAAGGATACCTAGTTTGCTGGCTGCCGCAGCTGCGCTGGGCAAGCGAAGAAAGAGGCTGTAACGCCTTCTGGGGCTGCCCCTGCACACAAACCATGGAAAACCACTTCGGCTGATGTCTTGGGATGAATCCTATTGAAACTAGCCAAGGACTAGATCTTGAAGCCGAAGTCCAGGGGACAGTTCTGCAGTTCAGGAGGACGCCCCCCCACTCTGGGTCAGACCTTCCCCTTGACCCAAATGGCCAACCCGAGGAACGACCTATTTCCTGGAGAGATTGGAGGCCTAGAATGATCACTGGAGCACACTTTGGATGGAAACCCCAAAGGGGTTGTGTGATGCCAGAAGCAATTGATCCTTTTGTCCCTCTTAAAAGCTCCTGGCAGGTGACTGGAGGCACAGTAAGCAAACCAAACATTACTTTCTGGGCTGACCCAGGGACCTTCAATGAAAGTGATAATGCTTATCACAGTACCCCTTTATTCCTTTTAAAATAAAAGTCAGAATATAGCTGCTTAGACAAGTACACAGTTACAGGTGGTCATTTTATTACATTTTGTTATAATATACTGCACTTTTCTACAATAATATATTATTGCCAAGGGAAGCAACCCCCTCCCCAATATAATTACTTACTTGGCTGGATCACTGAATTTGCCAGAAAGAAAGTGGCACAGGATCACAAAGGCTGTCCTTTTTGTATGCAATTATCTGTGTGTGAGCAGCACTGGATGTAACAAGGATAAAGACCTACAGATTTGTAACTAAAGATTAAAGCTAAAATAGAAAGTCAAAGAAGGTGAGGGTAAAAGATCACATCTTTCTTCTGTATGTAAATAGCCTCACTTCTGCCTCTGACATGCAGAAATAAGTCAGTCTCTACTTGATACCCATTAAAAGTTCCTTAAAAGTTAGCAGACAGAACACTTTTAGATAATTTGGGGGGACAATTTTATGTACACTTACCTGGGGAAGAGCCCTGCTGAATGCTGTGAGAGATAATTCTGAATGTATCTGCATTAGACAATTATTATGCAACACTGTTAGCTTGCTGGAGTGATGGCTTTGAAAATACCTGCTGCCGGAATTAATAACCTTATTAGGTTGATCAAGCTTGGTCTTCTATTTGCTTCCTAATTTTATGTTACTACATACATATATACATACATACATATGTCCAAATGTTTAATTTGGTGGGACTTATGCAACATATAACTTCCCTCCTCCCCATCCCTATTGTACTCTCATGTCTTGTTGCAATCTAACTTCTTTATAATAAATCAAAATGTTAGCATTAATGAGAATGAATAGGTCTCAGCAGATGGTATCACCTGGCTGTCCTTGTCTAGGCTGGCAATCTAAATAGAGTCTGGCCTGATTAGTATTTGATAGCAATCCCCAGGGAACACTAGCGTTGTAGGCTAGACTGTAGTACAGGCTAGACTGTAGTACTACAGTAAGAGCAAAACAAAACTACCTTTGAAGAAAGTAATGGTTGACACTTGACAGTTTTATTGTTGACAAGAAAACTATATGGATATGCCCTTGAAGTCATCAGGAGTTGAACATGACTAAAAAGGAATACTTTTAATTTAAGACTTGGAAATTTTTTTTGAAAGGGTGAGAGATATGAAATTTTAGGAGTATATGTGAGTGCATGGCCAGTCACAAAATACAAAAAAAAAAAAAAAAGAAAAGAAAAGAAAAGAAAAAAAAAGAATTTGCTCTTCAGAGTCTTCTTTAGGACCTTCCCTTGAGGATGTTCTCTACAATCTCATCTTACTTTTGCCTTGGCATTAGGCTGCAACCATAATTTTCTTCGAAAAAGATGGAGAATTATAATGATAGAAGAAAGAGGGAACAGAAGGATAGGTGGTAGTGATTCCACTTGTGGTATGAAGGTGAAAAAGGGGGGGGGCAGAGAGTTTGGGAAGAGGAGGGAAGGAAGAATGTTATGTAGTGCTGATGCACATAAGCTTCAGAAAGATGTCTTGTAGATTGGGGTAGAGGAGACAGAGGAAGAAAGAGAGAGAGAGAAGAAGGAAATCTTAATGAGAATTCTGTCTCAGAAACAAAAAAGCAGTCGATTATAAATGCATGCCTGTAATAGTGCAGAGAGATGACAAATGACCACAGGTTCCCTATCAGAGCAGGGATGGGCAACCTGTAGTCCTAGGAACAACCCTGTCTCTTGCTGACAAAGACTGAAAATTGATGTTGTTTCCTGCCATTCTAAGGTTGAGAACATATGAAATCAGTAAGGCAGGCCCTAAAATATGTCTAATAAAGCTTAAGAAATAAAAACAGCCCCAGCTCAAACTGGGGAAAAAGTGAAAAATGTTTGCCACATCTCTATGGGTGATATGGCCCTATCCATATTCTATCTTAATTCTATCACTCTAAGCCTTCAGTCCCTCCAAAAAAGAAAAGTGTGGCTAGTTTTGCAATGGGATTAATCAGACATGCATGGCAAACTTCATCCTATTTGACAAAGCACCGTGAAATCCTTGTTTGAGTGATGGTTCTAATCTCTTTCTATAATAACACTATCATTTATATATTTTTGACAAAGATATGGAAAATATTTCATAAACATGCTATTTTATCTGAATTTGGGAACTCATGTTTTAGTGATTTAAAATCAAGTTAAAAGCAAGATAAATAATGAACTTTAAGAAAAATACATATACTACACTGCCCAAATAACCCTTCACACAAGGTAAGCAACAATTTTTTTACAATATCAACTATGAACATATTTCTACTAATGCCTAAAAGAAAATATCAAATATTTGTTTCATGTACAGTATAAGTAAAATAAATGGGACAGCAAATACTGAATCTTGTTTCATGACTTCTTAAAAGGGCCATCATGGAATAACATTTTCTGGATGTGAGATGGAAGGAGTACTGAACTCATGGCATCTCTTAATTCAATAGAAATTAATTTGTTTCTTCTTGAGTAATCCAATTTATTTCAACAAGAATAAACCCTAATAGTAGCAGTAATATAAAATAAGTGTTTTGAGGCCTATATAGGCCCACGTAGAGCTATTTTGCCAGTTTCACTAACTTCAGGATGGGGGGAGTGGAGGAAAAAAGAATCTCCAACTCACTGATTTATATAGATTAGTTTTTCCATCTTAATGTCATAATAGATTCACTACTTCATTCAAACTCTTTACTAGGTATATACATATCATTTGCCACTATGCATATGTGCCAGAAGTCAAAGTCAAAGGCAGTAGGTGACTCGTGTACAGTTGGGTTTAGCTCTGTTCTCCCAGAATAAGATAAATGTTAGTGTTGAAGAACTCCTGGGGTTGGCTGAATTCATTTGGTATTCAAAAATGCCTGTCTCTTTTTTCTTTTACCAGTTCTCATTGTATGTTCAAGCCTACTTGAGTTTCTTTTCTCTTTTGTTAGACTTGACTCTTTTGATGTTATTCAGGGTACGCCCTGCTGCAGAGACAACTTCACAGGAATCGGAAATATAAGGATACAACCCAGGAACAGTCACTGTATAATAGCAAGAATATCTGAAAGCCTCAAGATATACTTTCTGCAAAATCTGGGTGAATGAAATATCGAGGGGGTCAAAAGCATAAAAACATTCAGTTTCTTATTATATGTATCTTGATCTAAGTATAGTTGTTTAGAAATCTCTTCTGCTGAAATTAGCATGGATTTTTCTAAGCTAAAATATGTGAAAAATCAAAGTGGGAATTAGGCAAAACTTTCAATCAGAGGGTT